TATATATATATATATATATATATTTGATAATTTTGACTATTTCAATAATTTTCCCAAAAATAAACGACTAGTAAAAGTCAAAAGTTAAGGAAAAAATACTTTTATTTCTGTTTTACTAAAGGAAAATATTAGAGTGTGCGCTAAATTGCGCCAGGAATAAGGACAGCAAGGGTGTGCTACATTGCGCCATAATTGCTCCACCTGACTTGTCTCGCCGGCGACGAAGAAGTTCTGAATCGGAAGAACCAAAAATGAGGGCCGTTGTCCAGCGTGTTGCTTCAGCCAGTGTAGAGGTGAAACCTTTGAAGATTTTTTTCTTCTATTTATTATATATATACTAGCTAGAATAATAGTGCTCATTGCTCACCTAGTGCATAATACCAATTTCTTTTTTGCAGGTCGAGGGGCGTACGGTATCAGCAATCGGACCGGGATTGCTGGTTCTCGTCGGGCTTCATGAATCAGACGTCGATTCCGATGCTGACTACATGTAAGTGAACTGTGACGGTAAAAATTAGTACTTTGAAATGCTTAATAGAAAATAAATATTTTCTGAATCAAATTTATTTTTTCCTTTTTTTTTTTTTTTGGTTCTGTTACTGTTTGTAATTTTGCAGATGCCGGAAAGTGTTGAATATGAGACTGTTCCCAAATGAGGAAACTGGAAAGACATGGGATCACAGTGTAATTTTCTCTCTGTTGTGGTGGTTAAATAATTTTTGAACAACTTTACTATAGTCATTTTGATAGGGAAATAGTTACTTTAAAATTTTAGTAGTAATTTTTGAGATGATAACTATTAGTTGAGTAACCATATGACAAATCAACTCATTCATTTATCCATTTTGTCCATGTAATAGTGAAGCTTCTTGCTGTAGAGTGAACACCTTAATCATGAGCTTTTGTTGCTAAATGATGAAATTGCATATTTATTTTTTGCCTGATATGATGTGTGGCTTCTGAGTGCTGATTTTTTACAGCTACATATTGCCTAAGCATTACTAACCGATTATCTGATTGGAGACTGAAAATTTTTGCTTGAATCAATGCTTTATTATTTTGTGAAAAAAGTGACCTCTTATGCTAGTTGATTCTTAGAAGATACATCACTGATAAGCATTGACATAGAACAGTTCATCTCATGAGATGAACATTTGGCTGCATTACAAGAGTATCCTATGTCCAATTTATTAGAGGAAAAGAAAGAGTGGAACATATAGAGCATTCATATCATCAACACCAACTAGTTTGGGATTTAGGTCTAGCTGATTGATTGAACTTGTGCTACCTTATAAACTGTAAAAGGAAGTAGGATAAAATGGATAAGTTACTCCCTGTGTTATTAGCTGGAGGTTCCATTTGTTAAGAAAATGAGAAGTTCGTCTTTGCAATGTATTGGCATATTCAATTTTTCCCTCTCTTGCTTTGAAAATTCATTGCTTGCATTTGGCTGTTTAACTTCTATTGGAGATTCTACGAAAGATAGGAGATTGAACAATAAGACGAACTGCCAATTTTGAAATAAAATCATCGCTCAAACTTTAGACTGAACTATAAGACGAACTGCATTTCTACTCAGAAAGAATGTAAATGGGCCACTTCTTTTACTTCCTTTGTGTCATTGACCTTACTCTCTCTTCCCCATTTAATTAGACCTATCAGTTGGTCAATTTGAAATAGTCTGGCCTAGTTTTTAAAATGACAAAGATCCTCCTTTTTCGACTGAACATTACCTATTGAACTTTTCGTTCTTAGACTCCACAAGTCGAATGGGTTTAGATTATTGGGATGGAGGGAGTACGCGCATATTACACAACAACAACAAACATCATAAAGACTTCTCATTTCATGAAAACATACGTTAATAAACATTTTAAGGAAAAAATTTCAACCAAAATTGTATTGCATTGTCACGGAAGATAGTCCAAAAAGCAGAAAGTAGGATGCAGAAGAAGATCTTTGACCCACTAGTAATACATGTATGAAGAATTTTAATGTTTAAATCTTTGCTCAAGACTAATTTGGAAATGTCACCATGTTGGTTATTTTAAGGCATTGCGGATTCATAGAGTATAAAATATCATTGCCTTTTTATATCTTGTCAGAGATTGTGATGCGTCTTTGTAAATGATGATTGTATTTCAAGGCTTGACAAAAGATGTATTATTTACTGTGTAGATATTTACTTAGTTTTACGTCACTTCTTCAGTCTTAAGTTTGTCAGCTTCTATTGTCCATTGGCAGGTAGTTCAGAAGAATTATGAAGTTCTATTAGGTAACTGATCTGTTGTACAAGTTCTCACAATGGTCTAAGTGTTAAAGATGATGCTTTGACTGTCTCAATGATGGGAAAATAAGTTAAACTTTGATCAGGATGTATAATGATTTACTTGTATGTCTCTACTGGATGGTGCAGTGAGTCAGTTTACACTATATGGGATTTTGAAGGGAAACAAGCCTGATTTTCATGTCGCAATGCCTCCTGAGAAAGCAAAACCCTTCTATGCCTCTCTGGTTGAGAAATTCCAGAAAGCTTACAAACAGGATGCCGTCAAAGGTAAAAAACTTTTTTCCATGAATTCTCAGTTTTGATCTCCTTTTCTGTTATCAATAGTCCTATGGAAAGATAAAAGTGGATATCAACTCTTTGTCTCTCTTTGTTCTTTTGCTGAATGGCTTCTATATTTTTGACTGAACTCCACCTTACTTTCATAACAAGTCAGCACCAGTTCCAGGCTGTCAGCACAACTATTTTGCTTTCTGGGGGCACTCATTTCCCCCAATGTGGATTACTTGCCTATCTTTACTCCATTTGCAGACTATACATGTTGATAACTTAACCATGAAGGTTCTAATACAGAATGCTAATACTTTATTTTTGCCTTAATTCTCCCTTAACAATTTTTCCTTGAACTAAAGAAATTTAGTGTTGTAATGTTGGAATATGTTCTAATCTGGAATGTTGTGATATAATAGCTATCCCCTTCTGTGAGAAGGAACGTTTAGTAATCGTTTCGTCAGACTAGGATACTTGTATATCATTACATATGGAACACAAGGCTAAATTTCTCCAGCCATTGTGAGATATTCTTCTAAGTAATTGAAGTGTTTGGATGAGCCTTTGAAACGCCTAAGCTTTTAAATTGTTGCGTTCAACATCATCCATGCAGTCATGGTAATTACATCTGATAACTATTCACTGGATAATGCTATTGGTTTTGTATCCATGGTGTTGCTCTGTCAACTATCTCATTATTGGGGCTCTTATATCTGCTTGGTTTTGAAAAATGGCACAAGCATAGATCTTAAAGCTGAACTAATATCTGCTTTCTTTCAAAATCTCCAATTCTTGAAGATATTGTAGTCTCTGTAAGTAATAAAAAAAGGTCTTCGTTAGTATGACTGTTCTCTTCAGATAGTTCTTCTGCATGTGCAAAGAAGTTATATTTCTCTGTGCAATGGTCAAAGATTGACTGGCTTTGATGCTCTTGTTTTTACTGATGAGGTCTAAAGTATTATATCCTCTTATTTTCTGGTCATACTAGATTTTACTCACCTTAGTTAATCCCCAGAACTTCAGCTATTAGACTGAAATGCTTTCAAAACGCCTTACTAGCTTACTCGGTGAATAATGAATCCACAGGAGTAACTTCTGCACTTCTAGTTTTGTTCTGTTCTTTTGAGAATGCTAAAACTACAGAAATTGTATAATGCGAGATGACCATCTATACTTTTTTGTTTATTGCAGATGGTGTCTTTGGAGCAAAAATGAAGGTGAGGTTCTCTGAAAAAATGATTTATTTTAGCTTTAAAATTCTGTAGAACTGGAGGATATTCTCAGACTTGGTATTTGTTTAATTTGGTAGGTCAACTTGGTCAATGATGGGCCTGTCACGATGCATCTTGACTCAGCGCAACCGTCAAAATGAAACTGAAGCAATCGAGGAAGTGATTCTTAGCACTTGTGTTGTAATTTGAATGATAAATCTAGCGTTCTAAAAGTAGGCACCAACAAGTGTTGGGTTATTATTTTATGAAATTTTAGTAATCTCAAAATCTTGAAGGAATCAAAAGAGGGAAAAGAAAAACTATCTGTTATACCCAAGTGAAATTTTATTACTCATACAGGATTATACTCCAAACTCTCAAACTTGGATTAAAGTGTCATGAATATGAACTTTCAGCTTATAGTTGTTATCACTTGTTGAAGTAGCTGCAAACCTACTTCAGTAGTACATTGCACCAAAATTATTTGAGAACATCCTGCATATCATCCACAGAGCACATCAACACCTCTCATGAGAACGTGACGCTTCAAATAACTCATCAGACAAGTTTCATTGTTTGTTTCCATTTTGTTCTGTTCATGACTATCATTGGACAGGATACAATAACATTGGAATGACCCATTTAGCATTAACGCATAGCTTAGAGCTACGGATATTCATACATGATACACCAAGTTCCTTAAGAGTTGCCCTTTTTCGGTTTTCCTTGAACTACAAAGGACAGTTCCATTGGCTATTAAAGAGTGCCTTAATCAGTTCACAAGCCTGAAGGCATAAAAAAAATGTGGATCTATTTAGCTGTCATATAGTGCCGTTACAAAATAGAGGTGAAAGTTAAATTTCACTAATCACCATGGGAGGAAGGCACAAATGAAGCTTTCACTGAGGTTTCCTTGATCAGCATTTGACCACTACTGGCTGTGTGGAAACATCATTTCGCCGACTTCAGGTAGGAGGCTTTGCTAATTGCCCCATTTGACCAAATATACATCATGAACAATAAATAGTAACTGCTGTTTCTCCTATGACTTGGTTGAGAGAATGGTTGCAGCTGTAAACACCGCTTCTTTACCCAAAAGTAGAATTTCTGTGTTCCTGCATCATGATATGTCAACTTATTAACTTGTGCAGAGTTAGAAACTAGAAAAGCTTTTATGTTAAATTTTCTTCAACAGTTCCCCACATTAGTATATCATCTGACGCATCAATAGAAGTTGTGTTCTAATACCACGAATCTGTAAGGATAGGAAAGCCATCATTGCAGAGAAGAGACTATTCTAATCACTTACTAGCTAAATTGTTTTTTTCAACAGTTCCTCAGAAGCGGCAGAATAAATGAATTATAGATGCAGATCACCCATGTAATCCTCTCTAGTTGCATCTTTAATCATTTTCTTTTCCAGATCTGAACAATTGTAAAATACCAGTAATTCTAATTTCTTAGAGGACTTAATGTCTCACCCAGTTGTTTTTCTAACTACAGTAATAATCCAAGTAAGACCAATTTCCTGGACTAGATGTGCCCTTCTGATCTTATTTCTGAACTTTTTGCTCATCCAATTTAGCTCTATATGGAAGTTGGAACTAAGTAAGGCATCATGTTTCCTAAAGAAGCTAAACTGCTCAAAGGAACATGATTCATACAAAATGATTCATAAGTAAGTACTTCAATTGTCATGTTGCAGGTGCTAGTGAACATTTCTGCCCAGAGAACCTAAAAGTTAGTAGGTGCCTATTTCATTATGTGAAGCTTGTGCAATGGGTGGTTCAAAGATGTGTGAGAAGGCAGCAGAATTTTTCCAAGGAAATTCAGCATAACTTCAGCAGGTGAAAGCAATTAAGCAAGGCTAATCAACACACATCAAGTGAATCTTACTTTTTTTTAAAAAAGAAGAAGAAAAAAGTGAATCTTACTTGTATTCTTTTCTGATAGAAGTAAAAGCAGCTATTATGTGCTTGCAGATTTCTGTGAGAGAGCTTCCTTTCACCATCTCTTCAAAATCATCATTTTCAGCAGAAGAATCCACTGATACTGATAAGTAAGCCTATAAGAGGATGAAATACTTATCCTAGTGAGAAAAAAGATCAAAATGATTATCTATAACTGAACTCAAAGATCTTTTTGCAGCATCTTATCGAAATTCTGCGAGGGAAAGAACTATCCAAGGAATCAAAATTGGATATCCTAGAAGTATACAAATTGGTTAGCAAGAAGGATTAATCACCAAAAAGGCATGCCCAAGAAGCAGCTGAGCAACATCCATTCCAATTTTCTTGATGATATTTTTTGTGCTCCTGCTGTTTGAGAAGCACTTTAAAACACCTTCAAATGTGGAATCATTCACCGGACTATTTGATCTCCTAGTACGAACAGGAAACTGCAACATAAAGTACATTAAAGTAGTATTAATTTCTCAAAATCTTATAGCTTGTAACCTCTGTATTAAACCAGGCAACATCAAACAAAGAAGGTGAGAAAACCAAATAGAGCAAGTTTTTTGATAGATGACAACTCAACTAATATAGGGTACAGGAAAACAACCAACAGAACCAAAAAACAAAATTGGGGCATAGATCTTTTGGAATTCCTGAAAAGGAAATGCAAACTAGTAATTTGCTGAAAATGTTTAAGTTGTCAAAACAAAGGACTTTTGTAACACTCCAAGGAACTTGCTTGTACACCATTCCCCATCTAGGAGGTTCGGAAAATTAATGCTCCAGATTTTCCTAATTCCCAATATAAATTTTCCATAAAGCATCTAGGGTCCAACCTCTATCCATACTTCTTGATTATGATTGAATTGAAAGCAAAAGCTCCTGGGTATCAAAGCACCAAGCAACAGAGGGTTCCACAATCATGCCTAGTACTTCAACAATGCATTGACCAGACCAGAGTCTAGAAATCTGTAGGGAATTCATGATTAAATTCAAAAGGAGATTGGCAGGCGGACTGGTTAAAAGTAAATAGTTGTCTTTTATGATAAGTCTGGTTAAAGGTAATATCTTGACAAGGATTTTCCTATGCATGCATGGACGACTTTGCATTTCTGCCATCAAAAACAAAATGAAGAGATCAGCACAACATAGCCTAAAAGAGCACAAACGGTAAGTTGTATTTAGGAAGTATATGGAATCCTAGAATAAGAAAGGAGTCATTTGATGTATGCCAATGTCTCGAATAAAAGAGTCTGATGGTCAATGTCTACAGAGGACTCCTCAAGTAAGACTTAATTAGAATGTATACAACATTAGACAGCTTCAAAGATTCAAGAAAATAAGACAGAGATCGAAGCATAATAAAACAGAACGACAATAACAAAAGAGTCCAATAACAAAATATTAAACTTCATAATGAAAATATATCCAATAAGCTAAAACAAAACCCCAATCCTTGTATCTAGCCTACATTCCACTACAAACTCCGTACCAGGTGAATTAAGTGAAGATACTTCCACTGTCGGTTTAAAAATTAGTTAAGATATGGCACGATGATAGAAGAATACATTTACCTTAGGAATGTACTTCTGAAAGTATTGCATGATCATTTTTAGCTTCCACCAAGGGTCATCAAAGACCTGCAGAAAATTATTTCATCATATTATGCAGCATTCTCCTTGACAAGCAAGATACATCAGAATGACAAAGAAACATGTAGGGTAAAATGTTAACATCGTCCCAATAAAAACATAAGTTTCATCTCATTTTCCCACTTAAGAGGAAAGGACATTACCTGAAAAAAGGGGGAGAGCATATCAGAATTGTAAGCGAGTTCATCCAAAATGATCTCTGCAGCAGGCGATCTGCACTATCTCTGATATCAATTGGATTTCTCAATCTGATGGTTTTATTTAAAGTAAAATAATTCATTCAACAAAATACCTCACACCATCAGCTCTGGTGGTAAGGCCTTGAACATCTGCCACATTCCGTGATGTATCCAGCTCCATCATCTAATTGTGAAACAAGTCACAGTTAGAATTGGTCAAACATATATTTTAAAGAGTAATAGCTCAGGAATCCACCATTCTCAGGAGATTCTTCAGATAGATACAAGTAGACCGTTTGAGTTCAGGTAAAGCCAGTGTAAAAGCAGCAATGCAATTATGTGATATCTCGTTTGAAGGAGGTGCCACTGAATCCACATCAGAGGAGGACTCAGATTTATCATATAAGTCAGAGAACACATCAGATATAACCGACAGGCAGTCCTTGACTAAGCTTTTATAGATTATTTTTCTTGACCCCTGAACAATGAGAGGAAGACAAATAAGAAGTGGCATCCTAAGCATACCTCAGTAAACTCACACTTCTAAGTAGCAATATTACAGACAAATAATAATGGTGACATTTGAAAATGAAAACATACCAGAAGCATGTTGAGCAATGAATCCCGCAAAAGGGTCCAACTCATCTTTTCTGCAAGATGAACCTTTTAATGATGGTTTCGAGAGGACATCTTAAGGTGCATGACACTAAATGAAAACTAGAATCCTCTGAAAATCATTACCTTTGAATGCTTTGTTACGAGGCACAAAGTCTCCTTCAAGCACACTGACAAGATAGTGAAGTAGTAGCATCTTCCTTAATATCTGCAATAGGTCTTGTCAGACTATTTGATGAAGATACGAAGGCAGGATAATTCTTCAATGATGACACTAGGCACAAATCACAAGCCAACTGGCTGACAAAAGATATAAATACAAAATTGACCTGTGAATTATCTTATTACTCTTAAAGAAATAATTACAAAATCGACTCATAAAATTATCTTATCAGTCAAGATTGTCAGAGGGCTGTTCAATTAAATGTACATCCACAAAGGAATTTGATATGTCAATACATTCAGAGTTTAACGCTCAATTAAAAATGCACACTGGACAAGGATGGTCATAAGCTAACTGCACATTCTAGCACTTGGTTAATTACTAAATCCTCACCCCAAGATACTGCTCCAACGAAAACATGTGAAAGGCAAATAACTTAAATACTTCTTATATGCCCAAGGAAATAACCACATCTTCTCATAAATCAAGGAAATTCTGAAAATGACAATATGGGCCAAAAGAACCCGGTCACCTGACTAATAGCCTGTTAGGCCAAGCTTCAGGAGAGCCAAAAGTGCTTCTTTTTTCAAATTAACAAAAATGCCTATTTTAGAGAGTTGAGGTGTTTGGCCAAGCTTTTAGGAAAAAATATGTGTTTTTGAGAACAAAAGTTTAATTTTTTTTTTGACAAAGGTAACAGAACAAAAGTTTAATTTATACAAGCTAAAAAAGCACTTTTGGAACCTTGACCAATTACAAATTACTACTCTAATATTAGCAAAAGTGTTTCTGAAATTCATTAGCTAAACACAAATTGCTACTCTCTAAAAGTACTTCTGACAAAAAATCACTTCTCCAAATATGTAAATGGTAGAAGCTTGGCCAAACAACTATTAAGTATAGCTGAAATTGTCATGTCTGCTGATATATGAGCTGATACGCTATGATAATAAAGGAATAACATATAATATTGTAAGGCATAGAGATTGAAAGAAAGCTTCAATATGGTGACTGACCTTTGTTTCTAATGCTTTTGACCTCTGGTTGATCATTTCCCCAAGTTCTTGTATTAGTGAATGAAAGCCCTAAAATCACCAGAAACATTAACACTGCCGAAATACATGTGAGAGGAATAATAAAGTTCAGTAAAATACACATAGGAAATTGGTGTAAATGTGTGATGTAGCCATCACATACAGTTTGACTTACCAAGGGGTCAATTGATCCACTTGAACCTTTATTTATTTCATCGTCCCTATCCAATCCTAGAGTAAATGGACACCAGGCCTGACATAGAGTAGCCGATCATTATTGAAGTTAATATTGAGAAAACAACTGCGTCTGTGAACAACTGTGTCTTCATCTGTGAGAGGATGGAGATACCTCTTCAACTAAAACAGGTTCATTGAGAATGGTTGGTGGCAGACATGATGCTTGCTCCTCCAGTTTGGGCAAGCACACCCTAGGAAATCGCTAGGTTCAAAAGAAAATCCATCCCATGTAAGAAAGTCAAATGCAGCAGTAATAATATAAAAAGTTAAACCTAAGGAACAAGGCAAGCTCTTACCTTATCCAACTCATTCAGAAGTTGATAACTTCCCATTATTAGCTCAAGTGAAGTCTCTTCCTTCAAAATTTGGAAAATTGCTTCACGCATCGTGCTGTTCCAGCATATCCGTGATATCAGATAATAGGAACCTTATGTGGTAACTTTTTTTTTAATCAAACATTATGTGGTAACTTGAAAGCTAAATTGACACACATTTAAGATGGGGCCGCAGTGTTATGAAAGGAGCTCACCTCTCGCCAAAGGCGATGAGGCGAGGCGAGGCGATGCCTCGTCGCCTTTTACTGGTGAGGCGTGGCGAGTTCAGAAAGGCGACAAAAGGCGAATGGTGACGCAGCGAGGCAAGGCGACAAGGCGTCGCCTTTTTATTTTATTTTTTAAAAAAAGATCTGATTTAATAATTAAAAGGCAATATTAGGGTTTATTTGATGTTTTTGCAAACCTAGGACTTCTTCTCTCCATCGCGACTCTCCTTGCACCTTCGCGACCCTCTCTTCTCCAGTTCTCCTCCCTCGCTACTTCGCGACTCTCTTCTCCAGTTCTCCTCCCTCACTACTTCGCGACTTTCTTCTTCTTCTCTTCTCCAGTTCTCCTCACTACTGACGACGAGACCTCAGCTGTTCAGCACTCAGCAGGTATGGTTTTAGATTTATTTTTTTTCTTCTCTTCTTCTTTCATATGCAGAAGAAGAAGATCAGGCTCTGTTTTTTACGCTGTTTTTTTATTTTGAAGCTATTGCATTTCTGCAATCTGCCTACATTTAAGAAAAAATAAAAATCAATCCTTCTATATTTATTTCTACCCTACTCAAATTAGTTTTATACTAAATAATATAGTATTTGCTAATATATGTTATTTGCTATTGAGATTTTGGATATTTATATATGCGATTAAATATTTTAAGTTTTTGGTATTAATTAGCACCTCAATTCAAAAAGGTGACCGTCTCGCCGCTCGCCGAGGCAGACCCTTGTCGCCTTTCGCCGTCCAAAACACTGGATGGGGGAGGGGGGAGGAGATCATTCATGCCAACTACATTGCAAGTTTGCAACAAAGGTTTCTTCTTTGCTTTTTCTTTTAGACGAGTAAGCAAAAGGTTATATTGCCACAAAAACTGAACAAAGATGCATCTTTGGGATTAGGTATTGTTCCCCCAATGATCATAGTACCAAGTACTTATACAAGCAACATAAAAAGGCAAAAGTCCTAGACAAAAAGATGTTTTCACAATCATTTATACAAAGGGAGAAGTTCTATGCACTCCAAGAGCTTACAGAAAAACAACCATTTAAGACTAGAATGTAAGTTCATGCAAAATTGGTAAAGAATACATTCTTTCCTTACTAGTAGATAAAGAGAGAGAGACTATATATCAACCAGTAGATGTAATAAGGAACTCTCCATTAATAAAGTCAATTGACTAAATCAAAGACTTGTAACAAACCACAATAACAAGAGTATCATGTATTTCTTATGACAAAAGAAAGAAAAATAATTCGAAAATGGAAAGGGGAAAAGGACAAGCTGGGTTAGAGCTTCAGTAGTCGGACAGCAGAAGTAAAAGGTATCATCTTTTATGATTCTAAAAACAATGTGGGCAAATGAGTATATACCAACAACTTCTGTAACACCCTGCAAAGGAACTTAATACTGAACCAATCAAAGATGGGAAGTAAGAGCAAACAGACCAGATATACAAGAGGACACTACTTTTAGGGATAACTGAGACCTAACAAATTTGTGTAGTTAGTTGTTCTTCATCTGCAATTTACAAGGTTTGAACTCCATTTTTCCTCAAAATCATCATTAAGATCTAAAATTTCTGATACAGCCACAATATCAAGTACGCAAACCAATCAACCAAAGCAGCTAGATATTCTCCACTATTCGTACAATTCTCCAAACACGCACAAGCATACGCAGTCTGTGTATGCATCTATATAGTTCAGTTTACATATAAATTTACAGAAAATCATAATCATACAACATCAGCCATTATAAACAGAGAAAAGGAGGGTAAAATACCTAGTAGGCGGTGTTCCATTTTCTGGTAGCAATGAAGCAGAGCGAACAGCTTCTAGAAAAGCAAGACCTGCGAATTTTTTTTCAATGTATCAATCGAAGAAGAAAACAGGTGAACAAATAAAAGAACAAAAGAAGAAAAAAACTAAAAGCGTACTGTCGTCAAGGCGGTGGTGAGAATCTCTATTGAAACCAGAAGTATCGAGAATCGCCATTGTGTTCTCTTCAATTCCTCCATTGTTGCTTCCTCCTCTCTTTCGCTTTGCCATTCTCCTTCGATTTTCTTTCGTTTTTCAAAACCCTAGGGAAAAACCGAGTGGACTCACGCACTCCTGATGCCTCTATGGTTTTTTTCCCGCCACTGTGATGCGGTGATTGAGAATTTATAACTTATAATCATTTAATTTCATTGGTCTTTCGTCCTGGCATCTGTCACAGGCTTGTCACTGGATCCCAGAAAAATTTGAGGAGAAAAAAAAAATGAAATTCCTTTTCCGGGACTTGATCCCAGAAAAATTTGAGTAGAAAAAAAATAAAATGAAATTCCTTTTCCGGGACTTGAAACCAGGTCTTTCGTGTGAGAGCCAAATAGCCTAACCAACTAGACTACAACGGATTGTTATTGTGAAATTGTATATGAACATATTTGATTTTCTTCAAAAGATTTTTATCATATGTGAATTAATGATTTCTTAGGAATCTAAATAGATAATGATTGTCAACGGTTAGAGTTAAATTATGAGAGTATACATTTATATCTACCTAGTAAATGTGAATTTCGTGTTAGGAGGTTGTTTTATTCTTTTAGCTAACTATAAGTTCATACCGTTACACTATGTGAGATTTGAATCGAATAAAATAACCTAATTGCTTCTCAAAATTATTTTATAGCTATTTTTCTTAATTGAATAAACTTTAAATTTGAATCTCAAATAAAACACCATTATTACATGAACGATTTATCATAGAGTTCAAAAGGTTTTTTCAAGAGGTAAAATTAATCCCAAAGTTAGTATATTTTGTTGTCCATGATCATTCCATTTTCTAAATGTAAATCATACCCTTTATTGTCCATTTTCTCAGGCTTAACTGGATCTCAACTTATTTAGTTAGGGGTCGTTTGGTACGAAGCTTAATAATGTAGGGATTAGTAATGCTGGAATTAGTAATGTAGAGATTAATAGTGCAGGGATTAGTAATGCAGGGTTTATTTTTATCAAGTGTTTGGCTCATTGTTTCCCACCTCATCTTGTGTTTGGATTAAAACCTTATGAAAAAACTTTTTTCCAATTATACCCTTAAATTATTATGTAATTGGGTTAAGTTAAATAATTATCGGACAATATTATTTTTTCATGGTCTTCTAACTAGCTATAAGAAGAACAATTTTATTGTCATGTTTGCCTTTTTTTACACTTAAATTATTTGAGGATAAATAATTGTCATCTTAGTAAATTGAACCCTTACAAAATGTCAATTTTCAATTTGAAAAAGATAAACTATCAACTATTAAAATTGAAAAGACGTTAAACAATAGTAAGATTGAATAAACCATCTACATTTACACATAAGAATTGCAAGTTGTAGTTTTAATATGTATACAATTTAATAAATTGTTCAAAATACAAATGATTAGAAAACCACACAAATATATATATATAAGACTTTTAATCAAAAAAATAAAAATAAAAATAAAAATAACAAAATAAAACAATATATATATATATATAAAACTTTTAATCAAAAAAATAAAATTAAAATTAAAAATAAAATATATATATTTGCCTTTTTATTATTTAATGTTAAACAATTCACATTTCATATATTGTATTAATGTGTATTGGATTTATTTAGTAATAAACAACTTTCTCTAAATAATTTGTAAGCTAATTTATTTAAATAAATTTACTAGTACAAATATAAAACATAAAATCAAGAAAATAAACAAAATAACTAAAATGATTTGAGGGATATATTTGTCTTTACATAGACGTATCCCATGGTATTATATCCTATGTATTACTAATACCTCCAAATGGAAGGTATTAGTAATACATCCTATAATACCATGTAGGATGTATAAGTTATAACTAATCCATAGATTAGTTATACATAGGCCCAAATTCCTACCAAACATAGTACTAAATAATACCATACATAATACATTGACTATTTGTTTTAATGTGGCCTACCAAATGACCCCTTAATGTCTTGATGAGCGAGAAAGGTGTGCTAATGTAGCTAATTAGCAGTATAACACGTAATTAATAGTTAATGTCTAATATAGTACACAAAACTCCAATTCTTGCACCTTAGAGTTAGCATAATCAAATTCTAGCTAGCAAAAGCACTAGGGTAATTTCCTTTTATTCAAGTATTAATTGGTGGACAAAATTATCGAGCACTAATGTTGATGGAAGTATGTAACATGTACCCCAAGAAGCTCGTACTCGAGGTGCACCCATGCTTGCGGACACCGTGATACTCTCATTCCTTCCTGCATTGAAAAATAAAAACATCCACACACTTCTTGGAGTAGCAATTGAAATTTCATTTATGTTTGATTGTAGTAAGAAACGTACTAACTAGTCCTAGCTGACCCACTCTGTTTGCCCAAAGTAATGGAATGCTAACACCAATTGTCAACTATAGAAGTTGAAATTTACCTACTTTTTCAAGCTTTTAATTAATTGCCTAACCTATTTGACATACACTTCTTCTTTTTTTTGGTTTTCTATTCGATTCGGAGCTTAGATTGGAGTCCCGACTATTTTCGGATCAGCATTGCAAGGCTCATTTAGGGATAATGCTCCTAACAAAATTTTCTCCATATCTGGGCTCGAACCAAAGACCTTTGATTAAAGGTGGAACAATCCCAATGAAATACTTATTGTAAGTTACCATGTGCAAACACATTGCTACAATTAACAAACGTACTAAAGTAGTTTTAGAATTTTGGTATTTCACAAGTATTATTTGAACTTCCATTTTAAGTATTCTTCATTAACATGATATGATGATTGATGACGCTGATTTTATGGTTTTGAGTTTGAATTTTCACTAATTTAGGTTGTCATAAACGTTTCAAAGAAAAAAGTGAGAATATATTATACGATAACAATGAATACAAAAATTAGTAGGACGACTCAAATGAAATACGTTTCGAGATTTCAGTAGAAATAAAAGTTGGCAAATTATGTTTGTGTTGCATTAATAAGCAAATGGACAGATAATGTTAGCTAAGCGTTACAAGTTACAACTACTTGCATGACTTGGTGATTTTGTTAATTGTCAATGATAGTGTGATAAATCTGCAATCACAAATTTTAATAAATTTTGAATTATTTGCTTCCACTTTGACCGATTATATAATTTGTTGTAGACACACACACTATGAGACATGAAGACCAGCTGGGCCATTAATCTTGTTCGAGGTTGGCTGAAAAATTTATGAGATGTACCACCGCTTATTAACTGTCACATGACAATTGATTTGAAATCAAGGGCTTAACCCAACTAATTACAGATAAAGCATTTTACTTTGCTGTCCTTTCTGTTTTGGCAGGGGGGAGAAGAGGTAGGGAAGGGGACTGGTGCGCTCATTCATTCATATTTACTTTTCACTCGTGTTTAACATATTTTTTTTATTTTAGTTTACTTTATTTTTGAGTAATATTATTAAAACTAGTTGTCTCGTTTTATTTGTCAATTAAAAAAATTAAGATAAAATTGACTACATTTTTCCTATTTTATTCTTCCAATTAATTCTTTTTTAAATTGTAAACGAGTTTATAAAGTTAAAAAAATCTTAAGAGGGTAAATTAGTAAAATTATTTTTCTTATATTTATGATTTCCTAAGAAATGTGTAAAGGATAAAGTAGACAACTAATATGAGTCGGAGGAATCGAAGTACTTGTCAATTTTAGCTAAATTAAGAAAGTTAAACTATTATTAATTTTTCATACCGCCCTTTAGTATTAAATAATTACATAAAAAAAATAACTACATAAAATAGTATTCGTAGTCAAATTTAGAGTTGCAAAATATCATTAATAGGTATATAATAAAATACACCTCTAATCATATTAATGTCTTTTTAAGGGGCATATGTTAAGTTAATTAATATGAGTCAAGTAATATAAACCGGAGAGAATAATTGAGATTATTATTAATTTTTTTATTGGGTGTTCAAAAAAAAAGTAATTAAAAGTGACTAGTAAATAGAACCTTTAAAAAGTTGTAATATTACATGCAAACCAGTGTTATAAAGTCAAATATCGCAGAAAGTTTTCCTTAGTGTGTGAAATTGAACGGAAATATACGAAATTAGCATGCTCATGTATGTCAGCCAGTTATTTTGCCACATGAATCATACAAACGTCTTATGCTAGCTAATTAATCGATCTAACAATATTAAAGTTCCTTAACTCACCAACAAGGTTGTGTTGGAGTGATAAGTACTCCTTTATTTTTAATCATTCTCGAGTTTGAGTCCCCTTGATTACGAAGTCAATGTGGACCGGACACTGGGTTGGGGAACCAAAAAATACAGCCCCCTAACTCTATATAAGGACGAGTAGAGCTAGTTCACCTTTATTGCCTACACAACTTACATATTTTACGTTGAATTAAGTGTGTGAAAATGATGAGGCTTGTTATTGTCCTGTTTCTGGGTCTGGTAGTGTTAGATGATCATAATGCTGTAGTACAAGGCATTGAAGTAGCTGTGCTGAGGAAATTGGCAGCCAAAAACAATGTAACATGTTTGTTGGTGTTTGGAGATTCAAGTGTAGATCCTGGAAATAACAACCATATTTCTACTATAAACAAGGCTAATTACTTGCCTTATGGGATGGACCTTAATTCTCAACCTACTGGCAGGTTCTCCAATGGAAAACTTGCCACAGATTTCATTGGTAATTACTTACTCAATCTTGCTACTATATATTCCATCTCTTCACCACAAATTTCCTAGTTAATTTTTATTTTTATTTTTTGTTAGTGAATTAATTCTGTTTATTCTTTTTGTTTTTCCTACAAATTTGTAAAATAGTGATACTAGATCACCATTTCGTAGTTATGCTTGACTCATAAACAATGTGCCTCCACTTTGTTTAACTTGACAATAGAAAATTAATTTACCTTTTGATCCATGAAAATCTTCACTAGTTTTTTTCATCTCAAATATATATTCTCCACTAACAATTTTTTTTTACCGTAAAAAAGTTAAATCTGATATTAAGTCAGTTTGTAAAGTATATTTGGACC